TTTCCCTAAATTTGAAACTCAAAGCATTCCCTTATATTTCATTCAGTGGGCCTTCCATAGTACTGAATTCAAACTGGTAATTATAGGAGTTTGGGACTTCGTAAAAGGAGTTAATGCGGGCGACACTAAATTCAAATAAAAATCACCGCACTTGAACGATTCCGTCCGTCCTCAGAATAGAACAAATAGAACACGTTGGCATAAAACTCTTTTACAATATTTGCCACAACTTTATTAGTGGTGTAACAGAAGTTTTCTCATCTCCGCTCGGTAATAACTCATTCAATTTCTCCTCCCAGACTCTCAAAAACTCGATCTTGTATACACTTTTTCCTTCATATACTGAGTAAATCTCGATTGAGCCTTCACATTGACGAAGTGAGACTCGTCAAACTCAAGTCGCCTCTTTTATCGTGAAGTCATTTCAATCTAATCAAAATTATAGAAAAATTCCAAAATATACTTCAAATATGCAAATAATGGCTTCCAAGAGTGATTTTAAGAGTTCAAAACTAAGTTCCATGAATTTCTTCCCAACATTTTCTTCACATTCTCAAAATTTTTGGGTCTCCTTAACATGGAAGAAATTCATAGTGAAAATCAAATATTTTTAGTTTGGAGTGAAGCTCTTACCAAGAGATGATCAAATCTGGTGTCTAAATGCCTTGAAATCGCCCTAAATTCAAGATTTCTCAAGCCCTAGGTCGAAATTTTGTGTTTTTTAGAGAAAGTGGATGATAAATAATGGCAGTTGACTGGTCAAAATTGAGGTTAAAGGTGTTTTTTTGGGATCTCGCCGTCGGTGGGGTCTTCAGCGCTGTCAACGCGATTTATTGAAATTATATCCTAAGTATCGGGAAAAGTCCGCATCGGCGGGCTCTATTGAATTGGTTAAATTTCTGGATTTTTGCGATTTCGATCAATTTCAAGCCTCACCGACATCCGTTCAATCATTATAGAGATAATTTCAAGTGATTAAATGATGTACTTATTACAAATAAACTTTCACAACACAAAACATCACAATTACATATAAATTTCAAGGGTTATAATATACATTACACAACACACCTAAGTTTGGTATTTTCTCAACCTTAATACATCAATTCAGCATCGCAATCCAAGCCACAACACTCAAAACGCTGAAAACAAACATCCTATGCTCAATCTCAACTATACAGAGATCTAAAAGCATAATTTTAAAGTAAAGCAAATGCAAATTTCAAACTAAATTATACACATAGACAGACATGTAGCAATGTAAATCTACTATTCTTCAGATTCAGTGTTAGATTCTCCTCTGAGATCACCCATTGATTGCACATGATGATTGCACATAAACGAAGAGGTTATAGAAGGGTTGGTATGAAAATTCTTCAGTAGAGTCAATGTAAATACTTCTTTAGAGTCCTCTTCTATCAATTTAATTCTCCTCATCAGTCATATCAAACAATATGTCCAGAGTGCTCAAAAAGTTCTTTCATCCTCCAGTCTAGATGATCGAAGAAATCAGAGATATTATTAATTGCATTCATAACATTTTGTACCTCTTTCTCTAATTTATTGATTCTGCACAGGATCACTAGTGTCTTGTCCATAACTAAAAGTTGAATATGCAGTGAGTTCTGAGACGATTGATCCACTATAATAATCATATCGTTTTCATATTCATTGGTTGGAAATCTCTCAGTTGGGTCTAAAGGCTTCAAAGGTAGAAGTACATTTTCCCAATTTTCATAAGATACTTGGAACTGACTGCAAATTAAGAAAATTATGAAAGGGTATCCAAGCCCATAAGTTGATCCATGAACGATCAGACCCAAAACAAACTTCACAATTATAGATCAAATATCGATCAACAGTCCCATTTCGATGCAGTAATTCAGAATAGCACTTTCCTTAAAAACTTTACCGATCCTCATCGTCGGAAAAAGTTTTGCAGAAATGAAGAAGTGCTAGTGTTCAGAAACGAGATTTAGAAATGTTGCAGAAAAACTAACATA